CCCTCCCCCCTCTTGCCCTCTGTTGCTTTTGCTGCTGCGGCTGACCTCGTTGGTTTTGAGTCGGTCGGTGCTGCGTCTGCCCCTTCGGTGAAGCGCCGCACAGGCAAGGGCAAGGGGGGCAAGGGCGCTGGAGGAGCGAGCGGGGGCGGTGGAGGTGGTGGTGGAGGCGGCGGAGGGAGTGGGAGTGGTGGTGGGAGTGGTGGAGGAGGTGGGGGTATCGGTGGCAGCAGTGGGGGCGGAGGCGGCGGCGGTGGCGGAGGGAGCGGAGGAGGCGGTGGTAGAAGAGGCGGCGGTGGTGGCGGAGGCGGCGGAGGCAGCGGAGGCGGCGGAGGTGGCGGTGGAGCTGGTCGCGGGTCTACGCAGAGGAGTGGCTTCGGTGGTGGTCCGCGCCAGCAGCAGCAGCACGGTCGTGAGACCCTGTCCCCTCAGCAGCTCCATGAGTGGTACACTGCACGCCTGCGGGGTGGGGGTTTTGGTCCGTGCACCTATGTCCTGCGCACCGGCGACCGTGCGGGTGAGCAGTGTGGGGGTGCGCACCCCACACAGCGCTGCTTTGGCCGCCTGACGGACGCGTGGCGTCACCAGTTCCCTGAGGCCACTGAGATCCCTCGCTGGGGCGAGCTGTCTAGGGCAGGTGTAGCCATCTATGATCTTGATTTTGATGCCATTCTTTTTGCCATGTATGCTGTGACTTTTAGTGATGTGGGTGACTGTTACCGGTGTTTCCCGCCCTATCCGGGCATTGAGACTGCTGCTCTAGGTACTGGTGCGGCTGCTGCCCTAGGTGCTTGCGACGCTGCTGCTCTAGGTGCTAGTGCGTCTGCGTCCTTAGGTACTGGTGAGTCTACGCTCTCAGGTGTTGCGTCGGCTTCGGCCTCCCTCACCTTCACCCTTCACTCTGGGGCTTCTCGCTCCTTCTTTTCGGACCGCACCACACGCATGCCGCTTAGTCGGCCGGTTGCGGTGTCTCTCGCTGACCCCTCTGGGGGTCGTGTCCTGTCTCACATCTCCACAGTCCTCCCGTGGTACCCTGTCTGGTCTCTACCTCCCCTCGTTCTCTACGAACTTGGTGAGTGGTGCTGACCTACAGGATGGGGGAGTGCACCAGTTCACTCCTGCGCGTCAGCGAGTGACGCACTGCACAGAGGCTCGCAAAGGCCGACACTTGGCTACATTTACACGTTAGCTGGGGTCGAGCCTGTACACACTGACCACTGCGTCTCCTCCAGTTGCTGAGTCTGGTAGGGCAGCTGCGTCGGGTCAAGTGTTTGCTGTAGCGTCCAGGTCTGGTCCTGAGTCTGCCCCCTGTTCGTGTCGGCTCCTTTCTCACGAGACTCTCCTGTGGCACCACCGCCTTGGTCACACCTCTCTGCTTCGGCTCCGAGGCATGGCCTCCCGTCTTCTTGTTTCTGGTCTCCCCCGGTCCCTCCCTCCCCTTCCTCAGGGCCCTGGCCCTACCTGTGTCCCCTGTGTCGAGGGGCCCCAGCGTGCTGCCCCTCACTCCTCCCAGTTTCCTCCGACAGAGGCCCCGCTGCAGACGCTTCACATGGACGTTTGGGGCCCAGCCCGTGTCCGTGGACAGGGTCACGAGCGCTACTTCCTGCTCGTTGTTGACGACTACTCGCGTTACACCGCAGTCTTCCCCTTGCGCAGCAAGAGTGATGTCACTGAGGTGCTGATCGACTAGATCCGCGCAACTCGTCTTCAGCTCAGGCAGAGCTTTGGCTCGGACTTTCCTGTTCTGCGTCTGCACTCGGACAGAGGCGGAGAGTTTTCCTCTGGCCTTCTGAGAGCCTACTGTCGCGCACGAGGCATCCGTCAGACCTTCACGCTTCCGTACTCTCGGCAGAAAAATGGGATCGCTGAGCGCCGCATTGGCATGGTCATGGACGTCGCTCATACGTCCATGATGCATGCGGCTGCCCCCCATTTTCTGTGGCCGTTTGCGGTGAGGTACGCGGCGCATCAGATCAACCTCCACCCTAGGGTCTCCAGGCCGGAGACCTCCCCAGCCTTGCTGTGGACGGGGAAGGTTGGCGATGCGTCGGCGTTCCGGGTCTGGGGATCTCGGGCGTTTGTCCGCGACTTGTCTGCGGACAAGCTGTCCGCTCGTGCTGCTCCTTGCGTCTTCCTGGGGTTCCCCCCTGACGCGCTTGGGTGGCAGTTCTACCACCCCACCTCTCACCGTGTTCTGTCCTCCCAGGACGTCACGTTTGACGAGTCGGTCCCCTACTACCGCCTCTTCCCCTACCGCACTCCGTCCCTCCCTCCGCCCCCGCTCTTCCTTGTCCCAGGTCCCCCCCCCCGTAGACCCCCTCTCCCCTCAGGGTCCTGCCCCTTCAGGTGTGTCCCAGGTAGACGCAGTCAAGCCTGTCGAGGTTACTGGTGACTCTGGTGCTGAGCCTGGGGGTGCTGAGACTGGGGGTGCTGAGCCTGGGGGTGCTGAGACTGGGGGTGCTGAGCCTGGGGGTGCTGAGACTGGGGGTGCTGAGCCTGGGGGTGCTGTGCCTGGGGGTGCTACGCCTGGGGGTGTTGTGCCTGGGGGTGCTGAGCCTGGGGGCGCTGAGCTTGGAGGTGCTACGCCTGGAGGTCCTCCGGGTGCTTCGTCTCGCCGGGAGCCACTCTCTCCACCGGAGCTGCGCGAGTGGTTTGCCCGGCGCTGGAGGCGTGCTGCTGGAGCTGGAGGTTCTTCGGCTGCTGAGGGTGCTGGTGCCGCGGGTCCCGGAGGTGCTCGTACTGGGAGTACTTGAGCTGCTGGGCCTGCGGGTTCTACTGGAGCTGGTGCTGCTGCGGGCGTTGGTGCTGAGCCTACTGCTCGCGGTCCTGCTGGGGGTACTAGTGGTGCTGCAGGAGGATCTTCGGGGGTGAGTGTGCCCTTGGCACGGACGTCCTTGAGGACAGGCAGGAGGAGTTCCAGTGTTTGGCTGCTGCTTCACCTCATCTCGTGTCGGTACTGCTTACCCCTGAGGGAGACCTGGATGCACTTGACATCCCGACTCCGCGCTCTTACGCGGAGGCGATAGAGGGTCCCTACTCTTCTCAGTGGCAGGCTGCTATGGATGCAGAGATGGCTTCCTGGAAGTCCACAGGCACCTACGTTGACGAGGTTCCCCCGCCTGGGCCGAACATCGTCAGTGGCATGTGGATCTTCAGGGTGAAGCGGCCGCCGGGTTCTCCGCCTGTCTTCAAGGCACGGTACGTGGCTCGTGGCTTCAGTCAGCGGCAGGGAGTTGACTACTTTCAGACCTTCTCTCCTACCCCGAAGATGACCACTCTTCGGGTACTGCTGCACGTTGCTGCTCACCGTGACTACGAGCTGCACTCTGTCGACTTCAGCACAGCTTTCTTGCAAGGCTGCCTGCACGAGGAGATCTGGCTGCGCCGCCCGCCTGGCTTCACTGGGTCGTTCCCTCCTGGTACCCAGTGGAGTCTCCGGCGTCCAGTCTACGGTCTCCGCGAGGCGCCACGTGAGTGGCACGACACACTGAGGACTACACTTGCGGCTCTTGGGTTTGCTCCTTCTACTGCCGACCCGTCGCTGTTTCTGCGCACCGACACCTCTCAGCCGCCGTTTTACATCTTCGTGTACGTCGACGACTTGGTCTTTGCCACAGCTGACACTGCTGGACTCGCCTACGTGAAGTCCGAGCTGCAGAAGAGACACACGTGCACTGACTTGGGTGAACTGCGCAGCTACCTTGGCTTGCAGATCACTCGGGACAGAGCACGCCGCACCATTACCCTGACTCAGTCACACATGGTGCAGCAGGTCCTTCAGCGCTTCGGCTTCACGTACTCCTCGCCTCAGGCCACTCCTCTGCCTACTCGCCACTCGCTCTCAGCTCTGCCTTCGGATGAGTCCGTAGGGTCGAGTGGCCCGTATCCAGAGCTTGTTGGCTGCCTCATGTACCTGATGACCTGCACACGACCTGACCTTGCATACCCTCTTAGCATTCTCGCACGCTATGTTGCTCCTGGGAGACACCGATCAGAGCACATGGCTGCAGCGAAGAGGGTGTTGCGCTACTTGTGCAGTACGTCGGGCATGGGGCTAATGCTTGGAGGGCGCAGTCCACTGGTCCTCACTGGGCTGACGACCAGGCTACACAGCGGTCGTCACAGGGTTACACCTTCAGCTTTGGTTCCGGCTCTGTCTCGTGGCGGGCTACTCGCTCGTCTTCTGTTCTGGGCTCCAGTTGTGAGGCTGAGATCTACGCTGGGGCCATGGCTGCACAGGAGCTTCGCTGGCTCAGCTACATGCTGACCGGCCTTGGAGAGCCGCCTCGTTCTCCTCCAGTTCTGTACGTAGACAACAAGGCCATGCTGGCCTTGTGTCGAAAGCAGCAATTGGAGCACAGATCGAAGAACATTGCTCTCCGCTACTTCCTTGCTCGTGAGCTACAGCAGCGTGGACAGTTGCGGCTTGCGTACGTGGCCTCTGAGGCCAACACTGCTGATGTTTTCACCAAGGCACTTCCGCCTTGATATATACCTGCTCTTACCTGTCTAGCCTTTTATTTATATGTACTCCTGCATGTGAACTGGCCTTGTGGCCTTGAACTTGTGCTCGGAATGTGTGGTGACTTTGTGATCCACCCTGAGCTTGCTTTGCTTTGCTTTGTTTGACTGGTCTTGTGAACCTCTATTCTCCCTCACTTTGCCTATGGGGGTGTGTCAGAACATTATAGCTTATACTTTTGTGTAGGCTATAGTGGGGTATCCTATAGGGGGTACAACCCAATTAGGGTTAGTACTTGTACCCACTTCATTCATAGTTCATTCATTCTCGTTCACATTTTCTCAACGATTTGAGAATCACAAAGATATCTGTAGAGTGTCTCGTGCCAGCCACAACACTTGTGGCCAGGGCTATTTTTTGCAGGATAATTTGCACGAATATCCTTGCAAGTCTGGGGAAATATTGAAGCATGCCTTGCAAGTAGCAGGATGAGAGGATTTGAACCCGGCCCATTGGGGTGGTGTTTTTTTTAACACAGCTGATGCAGGGTCCGTGCGTTTTTGGCGTGGCCCGAATCTTCAATTTCATATGTCTTATATTTGTACTCTCCCACATGGTGCAAAGTTCGCTTTAGTTTGTGTTTTACTCTGGTTGGGAAAAACGCGATTGCACGAGTTTAGGCAACAAAAATGGCTAAGTCTGAGAGGGACAAAAGAATTGCCTAAGTCACTAATTTCCTCTGCGTCAAAGACACGGCCTCAGATATCAGGATAATTTATCCTGATTCTCTTGAATTCAGGAGAGCTGTGGGGTCCCAGTGCTGGAAAAACAGCATAAGGGAAAAACTAGTCCTGGAATTTCAGTATAAGTGTTAAGTTGCGAGCTGGAAATTCAGTATAGGCCTGTAGGTTCAGCCCTGATGGTTCAGTGTAGTGTTGAGAGTCGTCCTGAATCAAGTACTGTGCCAATTTCGCCCGGGGCCTAGTGTACCCAACAACCGACCAGGTAGTGCGTAAGTTATGCTCTGTAATGGACGCCCTGACTTTGATGCATCTGCTGGAAACCACGCCGCGCCAACCGTGGAAACTTGCATTGCTGTAATATCTGTCAGAACATTATAGCTTATGCTTTTGTGTAGGCTGTAGTGGGGTATCCCATAGGGGGTACAACCCAATTAGGGTTAGTACTTGTACCCACTTCATTCATAGTTCATTCATTCTCGTTTATTTTCTCATGGTATCGAGCAGGTTCCCTCGTGGGAACTGTTCCTAGGGCCCACCAACCTTTTTTTTCCTGCCCGGGGCGCGTCCTACCCCTGCCCGAAGCGCGCCTAGGGTCGCGCCCTTCTTAGCAGCCCGTCGCGTCGCCCTTAGCGGCCCGTCGCCCTAGCAGCGGCCCGTCGCCCTTAGCGGCCCGTCGCCCTAGCGGCCCGTCGCCTTAGCAGCGGCCCATCGCCCTAGCGGCCCGTCGCCCTTAGCGGCTCGTCGCCCTCAGCGGCCCGTCGCCCTAGCGGCCCGTCGCCCTTAGTGGCCCGTCGCCCTTACCCTAGCGACGGCCCGTCGCCCTTACCCTAGCGACGGCCCGTCTCCCTTACCCTAGCGACGGCCCGTCGCCCTAACCCTAGCAACGGCCCGTCGCAGCCCTAGCAGCGGCCCGTCGCCGCCCTAGCTGCCGCCCGTCGCCGCCCTTTCAACAGCAGCCCACCGCCGCCCTAAGGCGGCCCATCGCCGCCCTTTTCCCTGCGGCCCCATCGCCGCCCTACTAGCGGCCCGTCGCCGTCCGTCTCTGCTGCGGCCTCGCCGCCTTCTGCTGCGGCCACGCCGCCCTCTGCTGTGGCCTCGCCGCCTTCTACTGCGGCCTCTGCCGCGCTTTGCTGCGGCCTTGCCGCCCTCCCCTGCGGCTCTGCCACCGTCACCTGCGGCCTCGCCGCCTTCTACTGCGGCCTCGTCGCCCTATGCTGCGGCCTCGCCGCCTCTCACCTGCTGCAGCGCCGCCCGCCACCACAACTGCCCGACCCACCCCACCTAGCCGAGCAGCCGACCGCCGCGCCGCCCTGCAGCAGCACTGCCGAGCCGCCCGGGCACCGGAGCAGCCGGACAGCCGAGACGCCGAGCCGCCCAGCAGCCGAGCCGCCCAGCAGCCGAGCCGCCCAGCAGCTGAGCCGCCCAACAGCCGAGCCGCCCAGCAGCCGAGCCGCCCAGCAGCTGAGCCGCCCAGCTGCCGAGCCACCCTGCAGCCGAGCCGCCGAGCCGCCCAGCAACCGAGCCGCCCAGCAGCCGAGCCGCCCAGCAGCCGAGCCGCCCAGCAGCCGAGCCGCCCAGCAGCCGAGCCGCCGAGCCGCCGAGCTGCCCGAGCTGCCCAGTCTGGTGAGCACATCACCTCTTTCACTGCACTGCCCTCACCCTACTGTTTGCACTACTAGCCTACTGTCGTCATGGCTACCCCTAGTGTCCTCGCTTTTGACGCTGAGGGTCGGGCCATTGACTTTGAGGTCTGGGTAGATGACCTACAGCTGTTCTTACAGTGCGATAGGGCAGCAGCCTCTCTCTCTTTGACCTCACCTCTGGCGCTTCCCCAGCCCCTGCTGCTGATGCTGATGCCACTGTTCGTTCCCAATGGGCCACGCGCGACGCTGCTGCAGGTCTTGCTGTGCGTCGCCACCTCTCTACCTCCGAGCGTGCACACTTTAGTCAGTACAAGAGTGCTCAGACCTTGTACGACGCTGTAGTTGCACGCTACTCCTCCCCTGCCACTACTGCACTGAGCCGTCTCATCCTGCCGTACCTCTTCCCTGACCTTGCTGCCTTTCCCACAGTCGCTGACCTCATTACGCACCTCCGCACTAGTGACACTCGCTACCGCGCTGCGCTCCCTGCTGACTTCTGCGCGAAGAACCCCCCCCCCCCATGTACATCACCCTCTACTTCATAGTCACCCGACTCCCTGACTCCCTTAGAGTAGTCAAGGACCACTTCCTCGCAGTGTGCCCCACCACTCTCACCATTGACCTCCTCGAGACGTCCCTCCTAGCGGTGGAGAAGAGCATAGTCGCTGTAGGGGCCTCTCGTGGTGACCCCCGCACCCCTGTCTTTGAGGGGTGTTCTCCCTCCCCCCTCTTGCCCTCTGTTGCTTCTGCTGCTGCGGCCGACCTCGTTGGTTTCGAGTCGGTCGGCGCTGTGTCTGCCCCTTCGGGGAAGCGCCGCGCAGGCAAGGGCAAGGGGGGCAAGGGCGCTCCAGTAGCTGGCGGGGGCGGTGGAGGTGGCGGTGGAGGCGGCGGAGGGAGTGGGGGTGGTGGTGGTGGTGGGAGTGGTGGAGGAGGTGGGGGTACCGGTGGCAGCAATTGGGGCGGAGGCGGCGGCGCAGTTCACCAAGGTCTGTGCACATGTGTCTCTTCTGCAGCTCGGACTTCACGTTGGCGAGTCCAGCAGTGTCAACTGTGGCAAAGACCAAGTCGTCGACGTACACGAGGATGTAGAACGGCGGCAGAGAAGTGTCGGTGCATAGAAACAGCGACGGGTCAGCTGTGGAGGGAGCAAACCCAAGAGCCGCAAGTGTAGTCCTCAGTGTGTCGTGCCACTCACGCGGTGCCTGGCGGAGACCGTAGACCGGCCGCCGAAGGCTCCACTGGGTGCCAGGAGGAAAAGTCCCAGTGAAGCCAAGAGGGCAGCGCAGCCAGATCTCCTCGTGCAGGCTGCCCTGCAGGAAAGCAGTGCTGAAGTCAAGAGAGTGTAGCTCGTAGTCACGGTGAGCAGCTACGTGCAGCAGTACCCGAAGAGTGGTCATCTTCGGGGTGGGAGAGAAGGTCTGAAAGTAGTCAACTCCGTGCCGCTGGCTGAAGCCACGAGCCATGTAACGCGCCTTTAAGACAGGCAGAGAACCCGGCGGTCGCTTCTCCCTGAAAATCCACATGCCACTGACGATGTTCGCCCCAGGAGGGGGGACAGCATCAACGTAGGTGCCTGTGGACTTCCAGGAAGCCATCTCTGCATCCATAGCTGCCTGCCACTGAGAAGAGTAGGGAACCTCTATCGCCTCCGCGTAAGAGCGCGGAGTCGGGATGTCAAGTGCATCCGGGTCTCCCTCAGGGGTAAGCAGTACGGACACGAGATGAGGTGAAGCAGCGGCCAAGCACTGGAACTCCTCCTGCCTGTCCTCAAGGACGTCCGTGCCAAGGGCACACTCACCCCCGACGGACGGAGGACAGACAGACTCAGACTCAGTGACAAGACTAGCAGCGTAGTCTAGGCGACAGCTAGCAGCAAAGTCGACGAGCTCAACAACTAGGGCAGACGCAGCAGTGGACTCAAAGGAAGGGTCAGTGACGACAATAGCAAGGAGACGCGTGACAGTAGGACTGGCAGCACGAAGGGAGTCAGACCCCGGGTCAGCAACAGCAGGAAGAGAGGACGCAAGAGAAGACGGCAGTGGGACACGCTGTGGAGCAGGGGAAGGACGAAGCGCCATCCGGTGAGTGCCCGGGACAGCAGGAAGACGCTGACTAGGAATACGACCACCAGCGAGAGCAGCACGGACAGGCAACGCACGGCGAGACTCAGGCGACGTAGGACGAGACTTAGTCTCACGACGCTCAGTAAGACCTCCAGTCGGACAAGTATAAGGCGCAGGACCAGGGAGAGAGGAGGCAGACAGAGGACACCCTAAGGAGGGAGGAGGACAAGGAGGAGGAAGCTGACCAAGAACCCGCTGAAGGAGCGTAACGAAGTACGGCCGCTGCTGTGCAGCGACTCCAGAACCAGCAGAGACACCAGCGCCAGGGTCCTCTGTACCAGCAGCAGCTCTAACGCCTGGGTCCTCAGCACCAGCAGCAGCTCCAGCACCCGATTCCACAGCACCACGACTGCTCAATGCCGTGCTCAATACAGTAGGCTGCCAAGAGGTCAGAGGAGAACTCACCACCTCTGTCAGAGTGCAAGCGCAGGACAGGAAAGTCCGAGTGGAAACGCTCGCTGAGCTGGAGACGGGCTCTGCGGATCCAAGGGATCAAGACATCAGGGACCTCACCCTTGGTGCGCAAGGGGAAGACCATGGTGTAGCGCGAGTAGTCGTCAACAACTATCAGGAAGTACCTCTCCTGACCCTGACCACGGACGCGGGCTGGGCCTCACACGTCCATGTGGAGCGTCTGCAAAGGAGCAGTCATGGGGGGAAACGAGGAGGAGTGAGGAGCGGCGCGCTGCCGCCCCTCGACACAGGGAAGACAGGGAGGAGCAGGCGAGGGTGGGAGGGGAGGGAGGACCCTGGGAAGACCAGAGACAAGGGGTCGCCACGAGAGGCACCTACAGAGACTATGCTAGCCTCAGCTGCAAGGAGTTCCTTCTTGAGGAGGGCAATGGTGAGGTCAGTGGGGCAACGAGCTAGGAAGTGGTCCCTGACTGAGCGCAGAGTGTCAGGGAGGCGCGTGACTAGGTGGTAGAGAGTGAGCCAGAGTGGGGGTGGGTTCGTGGCAAGGAACTCATCAGGCATAGCGGCGCCGAAGCGAGCCTCACTAGTGCAGAGGAATGTAATGAGGTCAGCGACTGTGTGGAAAGAGGCTAAGTTGGGGAACAGGCAGGGAAGAGAGAGACGGCATAGTGCGGCAGAGGCCGGTGAGGAGTAGCGGGCAACGACAGCAGTGTACAGTGCCTGCGCAGTCTTGTGCTGCCCAAAGTGCTCGCGCTCATCTATCGGCAGAGAGTTGCGAATAGTGAAGCGAGCGTGGGCGTCATGAGTCTGCCACTGTGAGCGGGCAGTGCTGTCGGCAGTAGCAGCAGGAGCAGTAGCGTGGCCTAGGGCGTGATCGTACAGTGAGATGTCTTCCTTGGCAGTGAGCTGTAGGAAGAGGTGTAGGTCATCAAGCCAGGTTTCGAACTTCACTGGGCGGCCCTCAGCATCGAAAGCTAGCACAGGAGGGCTAGCCATAGCAATAGTAGGAGGAAAAAGTAGTAGTAGCACTAATAGCAGTAGTAGGGACTCAAGTAGGGCGGCTCGGTCCAGTATGGGCGGCGCGGCTCGGTTCAGGTAGGGCGGCGCGGCTCGGTTCAGGTAGGGCGGCGCGGCTCGGTAAGGGCGGCGCGGCTAAGATCGGGCGGCGCGGCTCGGGTTGGGTCGGGCGGCTCGGTTCGGGCGGCTCGGTTCGGGCTGGGCGGCTCGGTTCGGGCTGCTCGGGTCGGGCGGCTCGTTCTGGGCGGGGCCGTTCGGGGCCTCTAGGGGCGAGCGCGGGGCCGATCGGGGCCTTTAGGGGCGAGCGCGGGGCCGATCGGGGCCTTTAGGGACGAGCGCGGGGCCGTAAGGGGCCGCTAAGGGCGAGCGCGGGGCCGATCGGGGCCTTTAGGGACGAGCGCGGGGCCGTAAGGGGCCGCTAAGGGCGAGCGCGGGGCCGATCGGGGCCTCTAGGGGCAAGCGCGGGGCCGTTCGGGGCCTCTAGGGAGGTGAGCGCGGGGCCGACGGGGCCTCTAGGGGCGATCGCGGGGCCAAAAGGGGCCGCTAGGGGCGAGCGCGTGGGCCGTTCGGGGCCTCTAGGGGCAAGAAAACCGAGGCGCCCTAGGGCGCAGGTAGGTAGGTAGGTAGTGGTGGGCCCTAAAAAAATCGGTCCTAGGAAGGACCTGCTCTATACCATGTTGAAATCAAGGAACTGGAATGAATGAACTAACACTGAAATGAGTACAAGTACCAAACCCTAGAATTGTGTACCCCCTATAGGCTAACCCACTGTAGCCTAAACAAGCATAACATAAATAATGTTTGACAGCAAGATCTGGAACCCACTGTGCTTGTTGAAACCGCCCCCACTGCTTCCTCTGACACCGAAATACCCGACCTTGCTGAGGAGAAGTACCAGGAAGCTCTGCTCATGTTCAAGAAGAAGTGGAACGAGGACTTCTCGTGGCTTATCATTTGTCAGACCTCATATGGATTCCCTTCTATGAAGTGCACTATGTGTACGGAGTATGGAGGTGCAGGAACGAACTTCGGGAAAGGCGAGGGGGCACTGGATGTGCAGACGCAAGCCATGCAGCAACATCAGCAAACAACGAAGCACAGGGACGCTATTCGCAACCAGGAGCTGGCGTTGGCGAGAGCAACCGGCCAGCATCGCATCCCCGACTGCCCGACGGCGCGTGACCTCGAGCATGATGCTGTGGAGCCGCTGCTGGACACGCTTGTCAAACAATATATGTGTTGTATTTGTTTAGGCTACAGTGGGTTAGCCTTTAGGGGGTACATCATTCTAGGGTTAGGTACTTATACTCCCATTCCTTCCTAATTCAATCACTTCTTCTTCGTAACATGGTTTCAGAGCAGGTCCTCCGCTAGGACCGATTTTTTAGGGCCCACCACTACTGACTGCCTACTAGCGCCCTCGTGCGCCCTATTGTTGGAGCGCCCTTGAGCGCCTCCCCCCCCCTTGCGCCTCTCTTCCACGGCCCCCTAAGGCCCCGCGACCCGCGACCCGCCCCTTAGCAACCCGCGCGCCGCCCCTTAGAGGCCCCGTCGGCCCTGCGCACCGCCCCTTAGAGGCCCCGCTGGCCCCGTCGACCCCGCGCGCCGCCCCTTAGAGGCCACGCTGGCCCCGTCGACCCCGCGCGCGACCCGCTTAGAGGCCCCATCGGCCCCGTATGCCCCGAGCGCGCCCGCCCCTTAGCGGCCCCGTTGGCTCCCTCGACCCCACGCGCCACCCCTTAGCACCCCGCACGCGACACCCACGGCCCCGCCAGAACGAGCCGCCCGAACCGAGCAGCCCGAACCAAGCCGCCCAGCCCGAACCAAGCCGCCCGAACCGAGCCGCCCAGCCCGAACCGAGCCGCGCCGCCCGAACCTAGCCGCGCCACCCTACCCGAGCCGCGCCGCCCTACCTGAACCGAGCCGCGCCGCCCGTACTGGACCGAGCCGCCCTACCTGATTCGCACTGCCTACTGTTTTTAGGGTGCACC